AGGGCGTGGACTTAGATGCTCAACACCCGGTGGAGATTCAGGAAGATACACCCAAACTCAAGAAAGGGCAGACGCAATACCTCACCTTCCAGCCGGGCGAGGTCCCATTTTATGCGCCCGATGCCACCGACCACGTAGGCAAGGTCAAGGGGTTGAGGCAGATCTTGTTCGAGAGGGGGCTGTTGGTTGACGGGATGTCTAAGACGGGGTCGACGCGTGGTTCTAAACCTATCGAGGCCCTGAGCATGGTGGCGGTGTTGGGTAAGCAGCTCGACTTTAAGAATGTCGATCCCAGCCTGATGGTGCTTGTCAAGCGTTGCGGACTTGTTGCAATCATGATTCCCAAGTTCCACTGCGAACTCAACCCGATCGAGCTAGTTGGGGTAGATCGAAGTACTGGGTCCGCCGGCACTGCAAGTATACCATTCAGTGCTTGCAGGAGAACGTAACCAAGAGCTATGCGGTGGAAGACGACCGTCTGAGTCTAGATATTGTGTAGAAGTACTGCAGGAAGGTGGCCAACTTCCACTCGGTGTACGCCGATAAGCATACGGGCCCCGACGCAGTGCAGAAGAGAAGAGAGTACAGGTCGCACCGCAAGCCGGCGCCGTCTGAGTTTATTAACCCTACGTAAGTAGACGTGCGTCTATGCAAGATAGGACTGCTGTTGTGGGGGCGTTTGCGAATACATATACTGTTCGTGCAAGTAGTTTCGTTTGCTGTCGTTGGTTTGGCGTGAAACACGGTTCGTGTAAGTTTCGTATTTTTCGCGTGCATTTTTGCTTGGTGTAGAGAGAGAGAGAAAAGGTGCCCGCAGTTTTCTCATTGGCCAATTTTTTTTACAGGAAATCTCCTGTCTGCAGAAAATTCCACGGTCGACCGATGACGTCAGCCACGGTCATGACGTCACCTCTTGAGAAAATTAAACAAATTCAAATTCGCCGTGGACGACTGATTGGACTGATGATGACGCCAGACTTTCACGGGAGTCGATACCCTAACCCTAAGTCATTCGTTCCCTGGACGAACGCATTTACTCCTGGCTGCTACGATCCACCCTACGCTGGGTGGTGTTGAACCCACCATTCCCGCCCCTCTTCTTGTGCTTTTTTTTGTCGCACCCACACGACGACAGACAGTCTTTGGAAAAAAAAAGAGAGGCACACAGCAGGGACAAATCTTGACGGGAAACATTCGCCGCAGTAAACACCGACACACGCTCACAACTACACACCCCCTCACATGAAAAGAGATATTTTTTTCTACATTTATTTTACTTGCGTCTTCACCATACAGGCAGACAGACAGTCACTCATCACCTGACAGATATACCGTCATCAGTCAACGGTGCCACCACCGTGGTTGACGCTTCGGGTAAAAACAGAGAAAAATTATGTTGGCTCATTTGAAAGAGAAAATGGCACGGGCAACCGCGGCTGCTGCTGTATCGTCATCACATGCTACCAGCTATCGATGGTGCTATATGGAGCAGGTAGACCAGGACGAGCCCCTCGCAGGCAGGAGCAACGGGTGGCGGTACATGGAGCCTGGAGGGGTCACCTATAGGCGCCAGGCCGTCTTCGGGACGGGATTTAGGATTCGTATCTCCTTCGCTTCCTCGCCTGGGCCGGGACACAGGTGGTTCAACTCGCACCCCCTCGGAGGAGATCCCAACCTGTACAATTTTCAAACTTGGGCGAGGACGGTGCTGCAGAGAGGCATGGTCCACCCGCGTGAAGCCGAGGCTTGGCGCACAGCGTTTGTAGATGTAGAGGGTGGTGGCCTTGGACAGCTGGTTGTGTCAGCGGCCGACGATACCTGGCGAGTAATCCTCTGCTGGGCGTCAGCTGGCAGGAGGATCGACGTCGACACCCACGGCATCCCGATCTCACTTGTAAACCTCCAGGTCCGATCTGGTGTCGACTCATAGAGCCCTTTTTTCAGACAGCTTAACATAGCGACCTTCGGGCACAGAGTTGTGAGATATGCCCCCATCACTGCGTTCGGCAAAAAATGGCAAGAACAGCTCCCAGGAGCCTGTCTCGCTGTCCTCGTCGCCGACGCTTGGCGTGACAGTCAAGTCGACCTGCTAAAAGCACGGGAGAGGAGAAGGTTTGGATTCCGCGATGTAGATCCCACGGGTGCGTTTATGATCTCATCTCGTGGTGGTCGACCTAAAAAGGGCGCGCCTGTACAAAACAAGAACGCTCTTGACGGTGGGAACTACTTCCGCAACCTCTATTCGATTCTACTGGAGCGAGACATCGGGGAAGTAGAGTTCGACAAATGGGTTTCGCGGGATGGATACAGAACCACCCGCCTTGACATTACTCCATCTCGAAAAGTGGCCCTATATGACCAAGGCCAGCGTGGTGGTGTGGTCACATCGGGGCACTGGTGCCAATATTCTTGGACCATCCGACGGGAAAACGAACCTCCGACCGCCCACAGTACACGTCGGGGTGCGTGAGGGACACGTGTACCGGCTTGTGCTCGAGAGGCCTTTGAGAGACAGGTTTGGATCGTCTCTAGACGTGGCAATCGAACACCGCGTACGAACGTACCGTAAAGTCCGCCGAATTTCTGAGATGACCGAGGAAGAAGAGGAACCAGATACCACTGTTTTTGGCGCCAAGACCTTCTCGTGTGTCGCTGACACTGTGAGTGATATCATGGCCATCAAACAAACAGGGGGGGACCACAACCGACAACCAGTGGTAAATAAGCGGAAGCATGGGAGGAAGGTATCAGAATGCAAGACTTGGTACGCGCCTCCAGGAACGGCCCGCGATGAACTCATGCTCCACCTACACCTCGCTGGGGTCTCTTGCAAGGGTAAACTCACGAACTACAGTCGCTGGGATTCACTGTCCTTACCAGCGCACGGCTTAATCATCCAAACCTGGTGCAGCGCGAGCATGGGTGGGCTCGATCCCGATTACTTCGAGCCCGACCAGGCAACACGATTGATCGAGCTGCATACTGTATGTAGTTCTATACCGGATACGTACGTATGTATTTAACAAAAAACACTGCATTTTTCAAGCGTGGCACAAAGCGCGACGTTCACGGTTCAAGCGTAGCGAGTCCTGATCGATCTAAGAAGCACGAAAAAGACGAAGAATGAAGAATCGCTGTTAACGGTGGCGCCCTCACGCAGAAGAAGTGGATCGATTTTCCCGACCCCCCCTACAGAAACACGTCATATATCTGTCAAGAGAACTAAAAATAATCGAGTATTCTACGCTATTATTATTATTATTATTTTTCTTAACATGACACAACGAGTCCATCTCTATCATAGAAAAGAGTCAGAGACAGATTAACAATGGAATCATAGCGTCAGAGAAAACTACCTGTGTGTCTAC